CAGTTTGACGGTGTCGCGAAGTGGAACATTCGAGCCTCCATTTTTATATCTGTACCCTAACAAACTCTTGCACTTGTACACTAGGAGATAGATGCAGCAGGGTCCATGGGAGCATCATTTGTAAGAACTTCAGTACTCCAAAATGCAGGGGAGTCTGGAGGCAGGATTTTTGACCATGCTGCTTTGTGAATCAGAAACTAAGATGAGAAACAGAGTAGCCTTCTCTGGGAATTTTCGTTTAAGATCTGTGCATTCAAGGAAGCAGTATTTTGAGTTTGTTAGTGGTGGTAATAATAATAATAACAGTCATACAATTGTAATAATAATAATGGTAATTAATAGTAGCAGCTACCATTTCTTGAGTGTTTACTACATGTCATGCCCCAGTCTGTTATCTCATTTAATCTTCACAACAGTCCTACAAGGCAGGTGTTATTATCCCATTTTATAATTAGAAAGCTGAAGCTTTTAAGAGTTTAAGAAATTTGTTTAAGATCACACTAGTAGAAAGTGCTAGAGCTGGGAACCATATACAGATTTGGTTGCTGCCTCTATCGTAATATTGTCAAGTTAAAAGATTGGAAAGAAGGAAAAGAGAAAAAAATCTAGAAATCACAGTGGGCCACAGACCATAATAAAGTGCTGGGTACTGCTGTAGCACTCTTGTTGGTTTATTTCAGCCTGACACTTGGCACTGTGAGAAAAAATAGATCTGTAGATCCTGCAAAGAGTTGTCTGTTTGACTGCGCTCAGCGTTTATCATTTGGTAGGGTATCCTATGTAACTGAGCGTTATATCACCTAAACAAATTTTTTTTTTTGAGAGTTGGCTTTGTGGGGCAATGATGTTACTTCAGGTTTTAAAAACATTTAAATTTGAGTATTGATCATACTCACGGTTCTAAAACCAAAGATATTCAAAAGGTAAAAAATATTCCACCTTATGCTTCATAGCCCCCTATGATCATGGAAAATCAAGCATTATTATTTGCTTATGGCTTATATATCCTTCCAGAATTTTTTTTTTTTTTTAAAGATTGGCACCTGAGCTAACAACTGTTGCCAATCTTCTTTCTTTTTTCTTCTTCTCCCCAAAGCCCTCCAGTACATAGTTTTATATTTTTTAGCTGTAGGTCCTTCTGGTTGTGCTATGTGGGATGCTGCTACAGCATGGCTTGATGAGCAGTGCCACGTGCCCGCCTGTGATCTGGGCCAGCGAAACCCTGGGCTGCCGAAACAGAGTGCACGAACTTAACCACTTGGCCACAGGGCCAGCCCCTAGAGGTTTTTTTATTTAAGCAAATGTGAATATAGACTATATTCCTCTCTTGTTACACAAAAAGCATACTATTTTGAACTTTGCTTGTTTTGCTTAACAACGTATCTTTTACTTCTTTCCATATAATATACAGAGCTTCCTCAATCTTTTTGATAGTTACATTGTAATGATGGACCATATTTTATTTAACCAATCTTCTTTTTCTGGGTACTTCCCTCTCAGTTTTTGGCTCTCATAAGCAGGAAAATATGAATATGTGTCATATTATATGTATGCAAGTATATATAGAATAATTTCTTCCTAGAGGTGGAATTACTAGATTTTTAATTTTGAAGATACTGCCAACCTGCTCTCCGTGGGGTTTGCACCAAGTTCCATTTCCACCAGCAATGTGCTAGAATATCAGTATCCTCAGAGTCTTGACGACAGTCTTTGCTATCAAACCTTCTGAATTTTGGCCATCTGAGGGCTAAAAAATATTTTAATGTATATTTCTGTTATTATGGGCAAAGTAGAGCATCTTTTTTGCTTTGGCCATTTATATTTTCTTTTCTGTATACTGCCTTTTTCTATCCCTTGCTCATTTTTTCCCCTTGGTTTGTTAGTTTTTTTTCTAATTGATGTCTGGGAGGCATATATATGTATGTACATATGTGGGTGTGTATACATATTTAATAGCCTTTTGTGATGTGAGTTGTATTTTTCCCCAATGTAACTGTCTCTTTAAAAATATTTCAGCTTTATTGAGGTATAATTGACATATAAAATTATAAGATATTTAAAGTGTACCTTGTGATTTGATATATGTATACATTGTGAAATGATTCCCCTATCTAGTTAATTAACACATCCATCACCTCACATATTTACCTTTTATTTCTGATGAGAATATTTAAGTTCTACTCTCTTAGCAAACTTCAATCATAAAATGTAGTATTATCAACTGTAGTCACCATATTTTACATTAGATCCTGAGAATTTATATATCTCATAACTGAAAGTTTATATCCTTTTATTGACCGCTCCCTATTTCCCCCTCCCCCCAGCCCTTGGCAACCAGTGTTATACTTTCAGCTTTCTATAAGTTTGACCTTTTTTTTTTTAATGATTCTGCATATAAATGATACCATGCAGTGTTTATCTTTCTCTGTCTATTTCACCTAGCCTAATGCCCTTAAATTCCATCCTTGTTGCAAATAGGAAGATTTCCTTTTGTATGACTGAATGCTATTCCATTGTATGTATGTGCCACATCTTCTGTATGTATTCATCCATTGATGGACTAAATGGGGAAATATTTTCCTCCAATTTATTTGTCTTTTGACTTTGCTCATGGTATCTTTTTGTAAGCAGCAGTTTTTTTACTTCTTATGTAATCCAGCAGTATAAATGTCAAACGCATTTTGACAGTAGAATTAAGAAAAAGGCTTTGGGAAAAATGAGGACCAAAGAATTATTGTAGAGAACTAGATAGAATCTTATGGCAGTGCCAACAGCAGTATGTATCTATTCAGCTAATAGTTATTGAGCACTTATTTCATGTCTGAGCTCTTATTTCATGTGTAAGCACTTATTTCATGTCAAGAACTGTGCCCAGAAGTGGAAAGATGTTGTGAGCAAAATCAGATATAATCCTCGGCCTTAGGTATTTTTAAATTTACTGGGATGACAAATATTATCGGGTGATCAAAAATATATTATAAAGTTGCAGTTGGGTAAGAGCCTTAATGTATTCTATGCTATGGGACAATATCATGGAGAAATTTAAGGAAGTCAGTGAAAACTGCAGTGAATTATGAAATATGTATGAGTCCACTGGCAGGGAGGGGAGAGAAGATCCATGCAGGCAGAGAGGCAGTAGCTGGAGGAGATAATGAATTTGAGGGACTGAAAGAAGAGCCGTGTGACTGGAGGGGAGAGAAAGGAAGCTGAAGCTGGCTAGGTAGATAGATGGTGGGATATAATCGAGCAGGGATTATGTGAAAGCAAAGAAAGGGCTGATGGATTGGGAGAAAATATGGATTTGATGAGTAGAAATTCCTAGGAAGTTGAGGACCTGTCACAGTAGAAGAACATGCAGATAGGAGCAAGGGCAGATTATGATCGGAGAGGGTGTTTGAAATACTTATCTGGAGGAGATGCAGTTAAATGCCATAGTCTTTAATTTTGTAAAAGCTGTTCTGCAGATGGTGAGACTAGGCAAGGAGATGTCAGGCCATCCATCTTGGGAAGCAGAAAAGGAAGATGGGTTTCCATGGCCCTCGTATTTTCTGGCCCCACTCCTTAGATTGGACTGATGGAACAGGTGCCAACTAACCAAGGGGTTCTTGGAGTTGCTGCTCTTCTCTTGGGAGCTCCAGGGCACAGTGATTGTGTGTGGTACTGCAGATCACAGGGAGCTCCAGGCTCCCTGGCCTGGCCAGGCTGGTCCTGGTCTTTTCACGACATCTTATGTGGCTGAGTTTTGTGCTTTGAGTTCTTTAAGTAGTCTTGATACGTTTGTGCTGATTCATCAATATTTTCTGTGCATTTTGAGCAATGTCATATATTTGTTAAAATATGGCTGGGGCTTTAATCAGTGACTAGAACAGAGGATGCTAACTGGCTTATTTGGAACTTCAACTTTTGATTTGGATTTATCCCCATGCGTTCACTAATAGGGCTCCAAATAATAGTAAGCAAAAAGGCAAAAACATGACTAAATCTAAGACACCACATAAATGCTATGTATTAATATTTCAGTATACTTTGCATATATGTATTAAGTACAAAACCACCTCTTTCCAGTTTACAGTGGGAGTTGATTGGAAGTTCTCTGTGAGAAATAGAAGTTGGGTGGGATGTGTGAGTACCACCGAACGAAAGAGATGGATGATGGCAAGGGAGTATGGAAAGGGAGAGCGCTGTAAAGGGGCTTTTGCATGATGAAATCCGTGAACTCTTTGCCATTTTGAGGTGGGATGAATGGGAATTTGGGAAGATGACTGGTGGGTCCAGCAAAGACGATGAAATGTGGGCCTAAAACTTTTCAACAACACTCCTAAGTATCTAGGGTGATGGCCCCATACGTTCCCTGGTTCTGGGTTGGAAACAGTTGGTTCAGAGGTGAATGTTTACTGAATGCCAGCGGTTTGAAGAAGAAATAAGTTTATTAAATGGCAGATATCATAAAACCAGTGGACAAAAGCACATGTAAAATCCAGTTCAGATAAGGTTGGCTATCTATGTAACTCAGTGTCCAAATGAAACCATTTATTTTTGGATTTAAGTACGCAATTCACTGGAAGAACTGGAATTCATGTGACTTGCCGGAGGTTCCAGGCAAGTTTAATACTGATGACCAACAAAACTGCAGACAGCTTGTGGCTCTACTTAGAATCTTTGAAACACCAAGAGCCGTTTTCCATCCAGATACCTTAGTTTGCCTTTCATCTATCATCTGGAGAGTGTGGTTTCTTTTCATGGGCCAAGGGCAAATAAAATCAGGGCATGTTTTGTAATATATTGGCAGAGATATTCAAAGTTGCCTTATTTTATTTCTGTGTAAACGTTAAGATTTTTCTAAGGCAAAAATGGACTGTGCCTGACTAGTTGCTACAAATCTAAATGTCAACATGATTGGGACTGTGCCCCCTGGAAACACTTGCCTTGGTGGCATTTTCGAACAGATGCTATCAACTGTTTTATCATGAGAGGTAATCTTTTGCACTTTCTGTATGTAGACTGGTGATGTACATCGAGAGAGACAGCAGAAAGACCACTCCAGGCAAGGAGCAGCAGAGCGGCAATGAGTACCTGTCCAAATGCCTGGGCCTTCTCATCCGTCACATCGTGCAGGAACTGCCACGAGTCCTGGGTAAATTGGAGTCACGTCCTCAGGCCCTTTGCTGCTTACCTTTCTGCGACTTGGCTTTTAGGCATCAGCTCTTTTTTATTCTTGCTGGTCTGTTATTGTAGGCGAGTGCAGTGGCTCTTCTTGAATATGTAGTTTTAGGATTGAAGTGTGCCTTATCTGTTTTCATAATTATTTTGCATCAGTGACATGATCGAGGCAATGAGCAGACTAAAGGTTACTTTGAGGTGTTGTCTGTGGTAAACAGGCCATTTCGGAAAATAAAAGGAAAGCATTTTAATTACTTAAAATTTCACTTTCACTATTATTCCGGGTAACTTTTCTAGAGATTTCTTTCTGCCTAATTCTGAAGAAAAAAATTTTCCGTTCAGATTAGAGCCACAAGTTTATTTATTGTTAAAAGAATTTAAAAATGCATAGGGATTAACATTTAATATTCAAGAATTTTAATATTGAAGTTCAAAGTTTGAAAATTTTTTTGGTTTGAAAAATTTAAAATAAAAATATCTAATAGTGATTTGCTAAGGATGCTTATTACTGCTAATCTTTTATTTCATTGTTATTTGCAGAAATTAAAATAGTTTAAGGAATGTGTACAGTTAGTTGAAATCCCATTCCATGCTTTTCCAGCAGATGTAGCTATAAATCAGAAATGTTTAAAATGTTAAATTTGATCCAACTTGTTATGATAAAATATACCTGGAATCGTAAATTCAGAATATTGTCAGAGTAATGAAAATATCTTTATGGCTGATTGACAGTACCTATTTGCTCCTTAATAATACTTTGGGAAATTTTTTGCCTGCTAATGACTGAAAATAGAGCATTTCAAAATTTATTTTAAATCATAAACTTTTAAAAATCTTCAACCTGAAGGCCACAATCTGCTCAGTTGGTAGTTGAGTTTCTTATTACCAGGCCCATCCTGTTTTAGAATCTGATAAGATTCAGATGTCCACAATGCAAGTTTTATTTACTATTGGACTTATCATCCAGTGAGAAGTTTTAGGAATTGATCTCTTTTTACTTCCATCCTATTCTGTTATTAAAACATTGTGATGTATAATGTTTACTTATGATTTTTTAATACTTTTCCTTGTTTATAAAAGTAATAAATTCTCATGGTTGAAATTTGGAAAGTACCAAAAAAAAAAAAAAAGGAAGAAAAATCATTTCTGAAACCACCACTCTATCAAAACCATTTATAAATTCTATTTTAAATTTCTAGATGAGAGATCAAGTTTATATCCATTCTGTCCCCAGAGGCCACAACTCTCTGTTAAAATCTCAATATTTGTGCGTAAAATACACATCTTCTACTCACTGTTTTATTTGGAGATTAATTACGTCAGCAGTCCCATTAGTCCTCAAGCAATGACCAGTGGTCCCTAAGTATTTGTGGTCTTTAACCTCCATGCATGTTACGGGATATGCTTTGCAGGTGACATTCTTACTGCCTTGGCTAACGTTTCTGGTCGTAAACACCCATCAACGGTTCAGGCAAAGCAGCTGAAGACATGTCTACCCCTGATGCCCATAGTGCTTCATCTCGTAACTTCGCAGGTAGTATCTGATTGGGAAAAAATAATATAAATGGGACTGCCTTCTTTGTAAACTGGAGCTGAGAAACGTCAACTCAGACAAGACATTTTCGTTTTTTTTCTTTTCCTGTACATGGCTTTCAGGATTTAATGTGTGGAAACTTTCATCACACAGGTATTTCGACCTCAAGTTGTAACAGAAGAGTTCCTTTTCAGTTACGGAACTGTTCTTGTGAGTAACGCTGAATTTTTCACGTTCGTAATAAAAATGTGACTGTCTCTACTGTCTGTGGAATTTGGTGTCAGAATGAGGTAATTTTAAAATCCTTGTGGTATTTATTTGTCTCTAGGGAAGTGACCTTTTTATATTTTTATCTGTTGACTGTAATAAAATTTGACATTTGGAGAAAAATGCATTCTCTTCTGATAGTGTATTTTGTTCAGAGATGGCTCCTAAGTAGGGTAAATAAGGCGATAGAAAACACTTTCATAGATTTTGGTATTAAGCTTCATGAAAAAATTTAAAATAATAAAACTAGTGAAAGTGGAATGCTGGGAATATCATCATCATTTACTTTAGCTTACATTGTCCAGTTATGTGCAGTGTCTCTTTTTATGATGGTATTTCTCTAAGTTAAGCTCAATTTAACTTTTTATTTAATTTAATTTTGATGAGGTGGGTAGCAGTGAAAAACAAATCATTGCATTATCTTTCACTTCAATTTTTGCTCACAAAAAATAGTCTTTTTGTTCAGGTTGTGGCTCATGAATTGTGTTATCTTTTCCCCTTGCTTGGAATAGTTACAGTGTATATTGTTGATAAGATGGGGAGCTGTACAGAGAGAAAGCTAAGACATCTGTCACCCAGCATCTCCAGTCCTACTTTGATATTAATAATAAACACTGAACTGAGATATTCAAAATGCCGTAGAGTTATCTAGTTAAAGTGAAGTAAACGTCTCAATTTTATTGTTAGTTTGGAATAAAAAAATGATTGTCACCTATAAGTGAGCATATAGTTTTCCAGGAGGTTCATCATAGGGTGAAGTATGAAGTTTTAGAAGTACAAATGTTGAGTCGAGGTCACTGACTTTTTGTAAGACGTGTGTTGAGGCAATGCAGTAGGAGTCCTTTGTACTCAATTTAAAATCTTTACCATCCTGGTGCCTTGAATCTGAAATTTTGCAAAGTACATAATTTTGGTTATACATTCATGAATTATCTTTTTTTTTTTTTTGAGGAAGATCTGCCCTGAGCTAACTGCTGCCAATCCTCCTCTTTTTGCCAAGGAAGACTGGCTCTGAGCTAACATCCATGCCCATCTTCCTCTGCTTTATATGTGGGACGCCTGCCACAGCATGGCTTTTGCCAAGCGGTGCCATGTCTGCACCGAGGATCCAAACGGGCGAATCCGGGGCCTCCGAGAATCGGAACGTGCAAACTTAACTGCTGCGCCACCAGGCCAGCCCCTATCTTCTTCTTTAGTTTGCTATTTAATTTGTTTTTAAGTACAATCTGGGTACCATTTTAGCATGACTATAATTCTGTATTTACAATTCCATTGTGCTACATATTGGTGCCTGAAAATAGCAATTTTGCCCTTGTAGGCCACCTGAGAGTATTTTGGTACAGTGTTTGTTTGTTTAAGGATAGATATAATTGTCCTGTGTTAGTTCTCTTACTTTTTTTTTTCATACGCAGTACTTTTCTCTGCCTACATTAGCTGAGTGGACTGTAGGCTTTCAAGGAACTGCTCTCCAACGTAAAAGTCTTTATGGGCTTTCAGGAATTACATGTATGTATTTTAGGGAGAACTTATCTGCTCCATGTGATACTATGTTTAGAAACAAGGGAGGAGGCCACACCGAGGTCTGCTCACCTTTTCCCAGGAGTGGGCGTGTTCTTTGTGGGTTAAAGGTGTATTCTGTAGGGTGTTAATGTAGGCCCTGTTAGGGAATGGAAAATAACTTATCTGGTTCAAAGATAATTATGATCTTGAAAAATCTTGAGCATTTCTTTTTTTTCCTCGAAACTCTCATTCAAGTAGAGGGAGTTCAGACAAATAAAATGGAAGAGGTATTTTGGCTCTTTTCAGGCTATTTTCCTAGTTTGAATCCTGGCCAGTCCGAGAATTCTTTTGTTATTTTTCTCATCCCATCTGTTATTTGGTGTTAGCTGTGTGTCTATCTTTCTTATACTCAGTGTTGATAGCGCTGATGAAATACTAGTAAAGGGAGAGATGTATTGACTAAAATTAAGGACTTGGATTTAATTATCCACACAGTTCTTATGCATGTTACTATGGACTTGTCGAGAGTTGGATGTTACTTCTATGAGTTGATTCATAATCCAGAAGATGCCACAAATTTTCTTGAAGTCGCAGTGCCCTACTGATGCTACGAGGCACAGTCAACTCATCCAATGTCCTACAGCTCCTTAGAAATTCACAGTGCAGAGCAGCACGTTACAGCCTCTTGGGTTTTCTGCTTTAAAAGAATTCTCTTTAATTTTGCTTAGGCAAAGTTTTCCTGAACTTGTTTGAGAGGTTTTGTTTGTTTGTTTGTTTTTAGGGGATGGGGGCTGCACAGCTATGAATGTTCTGTAGAATGGCTTTGTGAAACTGTCTGGAGCACAGTGCATCTTCTGTCCTGGTGGCTTGAGGAAACAGTCCATTCATATGTATATTCTTAGCACCGTGTTTTGGAGGCCTTATTGGTCTATCTGGAGATAAATATTATTTTTAGTATTTTTCAAAATGTATCTAGTATAGTCTCTATTATGGCAGGCCTATTGTCCTTTTATATTTTAAAAATGTCTTAATTTGAGATATTCAAGCTTGGTCCACTTGTATTAGCTCTATCCAGCAGCAGTAAGCTGCTGCCAAGAACTTCTGAGGTTCCCACTAACGCAACTCTCCTGGAGCTGTTGGCCTGCCCCGGGTGGGTATGGAGTAGGGGTCAGGGTTGGGGTGATCCCTATACATTAGAAGGGTCCTGAAGGAGCAGGCTGGAGGGGGCGTGGGAATTGTGCTTCCTATTGGCTTCAGGTTTCATACTGGCACCAGGCATGGTTTGCCTGTTTGATCTATAGGCATCTTTATTTTTTTTTGGTAAGAAAATACAGGATACTTCCTATATAAAGAGGCATAAGTATAGGAATTAACTTTTTGTAAACACTTTTTCCCGAGTAAAATGAAGTTTTGGTCCTCTTATATGTTAGAGAGCTAGTGTTTGGAAACAATTCAGTAGGACACTTTAAAATCATTATTAAACTTTCAAAGAGTCCAGGCAAAAGTGGGGTACACAGCTGATAATTGCTGTTTTCAGTTCTTATTGGCAAAAGCAGTGTGTCACCACACGTGTTTCCTTATGCCGTAATAAAGAAAGTTACCTAGGGATACTTTTAGCAGTAAAGCATCTCGGGGCGGGGGGGGGGGGGGGGGGGGGGGGGGGGGGGAGGTGGAATTCTGTGATGAATACCATAGTTCTTTTGGGCATCCATTGAACTGGGCTGGGAAACAGGAAGTAATGGCATTAAGGAAGTATGTTCGGGAACTCATGATGTTTATTAACCTAATGTTCACTGTCTTTTTGGTGTCCTTTTGAAAATGCTCTTGATTAATGAGCTGAAGAAGAAGACTTTGTTGTTTTTGTTCTTAAGTTCTGGCCTCATTAGTTTATAAAAGTGCGGTGGTTGTGTGGCGGTTACAGTTTTCTACAAAAAGATATCACGACTCAAATTTTCAAATAAGAGAAATGGTAAAATTATCCTAGTAGATTTTCATACAAGAATAGATTTATAATCTTCATCATTAATAAATCTTTACTCATTGTGGGCATTGAGATAATTATTCAAAGAAAAGGTATAACTTCCTGCCCTCTGTAGATTTTTATTTTAAGTGAATGTTAGTTTGTTGATAGATTTTGATTTCAGTTGTGTAAATAAAGCAGAGAGACTGCAGTTCTATATTTTTAAAGATATCATACTCTATTCTTGCTCATTGCCACACAGATGGTCTTATTATGAGTTTTTTTCCTTCTTTTGTGAATCATGAATTCATCTAGCCAATTTGCTACAGGAGCTGATTCTCGGCTTCTTTGAAGTACCAAATGATATTGAAGAGCACTTGCCAGCCCTCCAGGCACAGCTTTCCCTTTTTCCTCGTAGATGGGGCCATTTTCTGCCCCACACTCCTCCACCCAGGGAGCCTAGCTGTGGGAGGGGTCCATCCTTTTGGCTGTCTTGCTAAAACTCCCACCTTTGAAGCTCGCACCATCAGAAGTTAGCTTTCATTACCCCCTGTGCTGTGGTCATCTACAGGTTTCTGTGTCATTGCCCCTCAAAATCTTTTAGCATTGGGCTCACTGTCACTGGGTCCCTGCTGCTCCTGTCATCATTCCTGGAGAATCAGATATCCCTGTGGAGGATCCTGCCAACACCTCAGCCTCTCAGCTCCTTGACCACCTCTCTCCACTTGAGCTTGTCTCTTTCCCTACTCTCCTGACCTTATTATCAGAGTCACGCTATCTGGCCACGACCCCTAATTTTCAGCTTGTTTCCTCTGCTCCTTATCTCCAACAGCTCTTTGATTCCTCTTAGATTTAAATTGGTTTTATCTCTTTCCACTCACCATCCTATCTTCCCATGGCCTGACAACTTCGCTTTTCTCCTTATTCAGCTTAGAGTCCCCTGGTCCAGCCCCCATTACTGCCTCACATACACCCATAACTCCCTTTGTAGTCTCTTCCTCCATTGTCCTCCTCTGGAAAACCCAAATCCTGGTTCAATTAAGTTCTCCACTTACCCTACCCCTGCTTTGAGTGGCTAAATGTGGCTAGAGAAAAACAGGTCGAAAATAACTGATCTCATTTTGAATTCATTACTGCTTATCTCAAGTGAGCCCTCTCTGTAGACTGGTACATCTAATTCATTTTCCTAATTTATATACCTTCACGCTCATCTAGATGACTATTCAAACATTCCCTTTTCTCCTTGAATCTCTAATGCCTCCTACCCTGTCCTCACTCTCACCTGATTAATTCTTATTACACTGAGAATGAAGATGAAGAAATATATCAAAAGACATTAAAATTGGTAAATCTATGAAACATTCAGTAAGGTTTTTTTTTTTTAATATTAAACAGGGGAAGTATAAGGAAGAAAATAAGTTAAAAGAAGTCCATAATTTCACCATCTAGATAACCTTTGTTACATTAAAAAGGAAAAATATTTAATGCATGTCTATGGTTATTAGAAAATCCAACAGTGCAGAAAGGCAGACAATGAAAAGTAAAGGCACACCTCCTGTGTCAGCATCTCTCCCACCAGGAGCCTCTGCCAGTGGCTTCCTGTGATTTCTTCCTTGAAAATTTTTGTTCACATCTATATTTGTGTATTATCTATATATTCTTTTAAAAAATTTATGGGAAAGACTGTAGTATAAATAACATTCTCTGCCTTCTTTCTTTACTTAGTAATCCGTCAACATTTAAGTAGATTTATTTAAGTCAAAAGACATCTTTCTCTGAATTTTTGTATTCAACATCAAATCTGCAGTTATGCAGCAAAAGTTAACATGCCCATTTGAGAATTTTGTGAAATTATTTCAACCACATTGTCATGAAAGGCTTACGTTGCCTCTTTTCATTATTTATTACATTATTTCTTTTTTCAGTCTTTTTTGTTTGTTTAGTCATAGACTGAAAAAAAGAATTCAAAGTATCCTGTTTTACAATTCAATTTTCAAAGAGCATGTGTCTTTAAGATTTTCTCTTATTTTAAAGGTAATTTGACTTTATTTATTTAGATTATAAAATACATGCTTACTTAAGAAGATGTAGGAAATTATAGTGAGATTTGAAGAAAAAATTGCCCTAACTCCACTATTCTCAGAGACAACCATTGTTAACATATTGTTGTTTACTTATAGTGTTTTCAATTCATATATATGCATTTGTATGTAGAAAAACTGTTTATGTATGTATAACATATATATATGACTTATACCAGTACATGTGGTTGAGACTATGCTGTATATATATATATATATATATATATATATGGATTTGCATTCTTTTTTCCATTTAACATTGTATCATAAGTATTTTCCCATATCTTTAAAATTCTTTTCCCCCCAACATTTTAATGGCTATGTACTGTACCATTTGTATGAACTGTATACAATTTGATATCATTTCAGCAAAGTTCAAAAATACCCAAATAAACAGTATACTATTTAGGGACACATGTATATATGGTAAAACTATTTAAAAATGCCAAGGACGTGATAAATTCATGATTGTGGTTATCTCTGGAGCAATGACAGGCAGGTGGGATGGGGGAAGCTCAGGTAAGGAATTGGGAATGTCTTAGGTCTTAACTTGGATGGTGGGTTTAAGAGTTTTCTTTATTCTTTATAACATAAAATCTAAACATATGTTCTTTTGTGTATGTTATATATGGTCTTTTATATTTACCAAAAATTTTGAGAAAACCATTGGACGATAGTAGACCCATTTTCTGCTCCAGGCTAGTTACTTGCTTAATTATTTTTTTATTCCAGGGTCATCTTATGTTTTAGTTGCTATTTGATATCATATATAAAATAATATATACACGTTATTTTGTGAGCTAGGGGCCAGAACTCAGTTGCAGTGTCTCCACACATCACTAAAATGAGTGCTTTGCCCGTTATAGCCATGCCCCTGATTGTTTCATTCACATTGTGTTCATGGAGCACCTCCTTTGGCTTGAGCTTTCGGCTCAGAACTGGGAAGCTCACCCAGGGAGTTCACAGCTGAGCTGCTCAGGCCTGCCTCTAAAACCGTGTTGAGGGTCATTCTGCAAGGAGGCACGGGCATGGTGTGTGGGGGCACAGACAAGGGAGTTAGGGTTGGGGTAGGAAGTAGATAGGAGGGGCTGAGAACAGTGGTGACACTTGAAGACAGGCCTTACATTGCCACATCTTGATGAAATTTGCACTCAGAGTGGCTAAGGCTTGACCTTCCTTTGAGAGGACTGTTTCACCTGATTAGGTGCTGTTCTCACTAACTTCCAAGATAGTGAGGAAGTGTGGCATATTGGAAATGGTTGTATATCAATTGGATTATCCTCACTTTTGTAGGTTGATCTTTCTGTGCTTATATTGCTGTTGAATTCATTCCAACATTGTCTCATTGATAGTGATTTGTATATTTAAAAGTGATTATAGTTTATAATACATATACTATTTCTATGATCATATTTTAAAACTATGGTTATAGTATTCGTAATATGTGTATAGTATTTAATGCCTTCTGTGAGTTATTTTATTAAGAATAATAGGTGCAGTTTTCGGCAAAATGTTATGTATATTTTATTTTAGAGTTATTTTGAAATCTCCATTTATTAACATTTTTATTTTTTACAGAGTCATATTAAATCGATAGACTCAGGAGAAACTAACATAGATGGAGCCATAGGTGAGTAGACCATGGGACATTTTACATCTTTGTTTGAGGTACTTTGATATTGTGATTTTGAACATGTAAATAAACACCTATAGTAATTAACTGTATTCCTAGGACTGATGGCATCGGAAGAATTTATCAAGATCACGTTGTCAGCTTTTGAAGCAATAATCCAGTATCCTATTTTATTGAAAGACTATTGCTCTACGGTCAGTTCTGGCAGCTTTTGAAGATTCCTTTCTCTGTACTTGGTAATTCTGTATATAAAGAGACTTAGTTTATGTATCCTTGGCTCATATGTGTTCCTCATATGAAATAACCACTCAGAAAAGCTGCCCCCTTGACTGGATGAACATAAGAAATCCCTTCCTTCCTTGTTGGCTTTTTGGGATTTTCCTTTGCTTGTTATTCTCTTTCCTTTCTGGTCCACACCTCCCCCTCAGCTTGCTCCTTCTTACTTCTTGCCTGATTATTTGCTGTAAACAATAGCACAAACTCTTGGAGCAGCGTTTCTCAACCTCAGCACTATAGGCATTTGGGGATGGACTGTTCCTTGTTGGGGGGATGTCCTGGGCATTGTAGGATGTTTAGCAGCATCCTTGGCCTCTACCCAGTAGATGTGGGTAGCACCCACTCCTCCCCCACTTCCTTGTGACAACCAAAAAGGTCTCTACACATTGCTAGCTGTCTTCTGGGCAGCGAAATTGCCCCCATTTCAGAACCTCTGCCTTGGAGTGATCCTTACATGAGCTGAGACTTTAGAGGAGGGAGGAAAGGCTCTGTGACTGTGTTCTCATCAGCAGAAAGCTCTCAAGAAAAGGAGCCAGGTGAGACAAGAACCACACCAGTCATGTTCGTATTCTCTCTCATGGTTCTAGAGGTTGACTGAGCTCAGCAAGGCAGTTCTCACTCGGGGTCTTTCAGGTGGTTGCAGTCTGTGGTGCCTCAGAATGCAATCATCTGAAGTCTCAGTCACTCACATGTCTGCCTCCAGCTGGGATTCCTCTGGCATCTCTCTCCATCTTTGTGTGGTGTTTCCAGCAGGGTGACTTCAGGGTGGCCTGAGTGCCTACCTGGCAGCTCAGGATTCTAAAGACGCATGTCTCAAGAGAGAGGGGATGATTATTTTTTGAGGGTAGGAAATTTCTACCAACTCTTCATGGTTGTTTTCTTTTCTTTCTTTCTTTGCTCTTCTTGTTTTATTGTAATACAGAAAAGTGCTTTCAAATGTGTGTGGTTTAACGAATAGTAAAGCAAGAGCTTGAGAAATCACCCTTCAGTGAAAAAAAAAACAGAACATTTCTGCAGCCCCCAAATCACCTCGATCACAAACTCTTTCCCTCCTGGAGGGAGGACCACTATCCTGACTTTCATAGTAATCATTCTCGTGCATTCCTTTGTAGGCCTATGTGTGCATTACTAAATAATGTAGATTGGTTTTGCCTGCTTTTGCACTTTGTGCGATACGACATGCATTCATTTGTGACTTGCTTTCTTTACTCAGTGTTGGTAAGACATCCATGTTGTTAAGTATCTTTATGGTTTAAATTTTTACCAGTGTATAGTATCCCATTGTAAAAAGCTGAGTATGTGAATATATTGCAATTTACTTATTTATTCTTGATACATATTAGGTTGCTTCTAGTTTTTGGCATTTATAAACAATAGTGCTATGGATATTCTTTTTTTTTTTTTTCTTGAGGAAGATCAGCCCTGAGCTAACTGCTGCCAATCCTCCTCTTTTTGCTGAGGAAGACTGGCCCTGAGCTAACATCCATGCCCATCTTCCTCTACTTTCTATGTGGGACGCCTGCCACAGCATGGCTTGCCAAGTGGTGCTGTGTCTGCACCCGGGATCCGAACTGGCGAACCCCGGGCCGCCCAAGCGGAACGTGTGCACTTAACCGCTGTGCCACCGGGCCGGCCCCTGGATCTTCTTATTTATGTGTTTGGCTCCACATAAGCGTGCATTATTTCTAGGGTACGTGCTTTGGAATGGACTCAGTGGTTATAGGATATATGCAAACTCATTTTGTCTAGAAAATGCCGTAGCGTTTTCCAAAGAGATAGTACCAGTGTGCGTTCACCCCAGCAGTGCGGTATCTGATGTCCTCACCCTCCCAACTCTAGTTATTTCACACTTTTAATGAATCGGTATATAGTGATGTTTCACTGTAGTTTTAAATTGTATGATCGACATGACTAATGAGGCCAAGTAGTTTTTCAAATGTTGGTTGGCCATTTGGGAATACTCTTTTAGGCAGTGCTTCTTCAGGTCTTTCCATGATTTTGGTTTTCTTATCTAGTTTTAGAAGTTCATAATATTTTCTTGCCATCTTTTCGTAGTGTTTGTATAATCTAATAATATATCCTTTTAAAATTTTTACTGTTTATGTTGTTCCTTCTTTTTATTTTCTTGAACAATCTAACCAGAGATTTGTTAGTTTTACTAACTTGATTAAAGAGCCAGTCAGTGTTCAGTTTTGCCGATCTCCTTTATGGTATGTTTCTTTTCTGTTTCATTAATTTCTTCTAATCCTTATCTCCTTTCTTCTTTCTTGGATTTATTTTGCATTTTTTTCTAACTTTTTGTGATAAATATTTAGTTCGTTGATTTTCCTTATTTCTTCCTTTCTAATATATGCATTTAAGATTGTATCTCCTTTTAAGTACTGCTTTAGCTGCATCCGACAAGTTTGGGTATGTAGCGTTTTTATTATCTTTTAGTTAAAAGACTTGCTTTGATTCATGGGTTATTAAGATATATACTTAAATTTTCAAACACATGGACACTTCTTAGTTATTTTTCTATAGTTGACTTCTAGCTTAATTGCTTTGAAGTTAGAGAAATACTCTATGTAGTTTCAGTTTGTTGAAATGTATTGACTTGCTTCATTAGCCCATATAAAATTTTTTTTTGTAGATGTTCTGTATGTATTTGAAAAGAATATGTATTTTGCAGCTCTCAGATGCAGTATTCAATGTATGTGTATTAGGTCAAATTTGTTAGTTATCTGCTTCAAATCTTTCATATCCTTGCTAACTTTTGTGTGGTTTTTCTATAAATTACTGTGAGAGGAGTTTGTACAGCCAGTCCTCCGTATCTGCGGGTTCCACATCCACAAATTCAACCAATCACTGATCAAAAGGCCTGCAATGATTGCATCTGTACTGAACATGTACAGACTTTTTTCTTGTTATTATTCCATAAACAATACAGTATAACAACAATTTACATAACATTTACATTGTATTAGTTATTATAAGTAATCAAGATGATTTAAAGTATATAGGAGGATGTGTGTAAGTTATCTGCAAATACTATGCTATTTTATATAAGGGACTTGAGCATCTGTGGATTTTGGTATTTACGTGTGTGTGTGAGGGTGTTCCTGGAACAGTCCCCCGTGGATACCAAGGGACAACTAAATCTCCCTTGAGGCTATTAGGAATTTATTTTTCTCGTATAGTTCTGTCAGTTTCTGTTTTATATATTTGAGGCCATGTTATTAGCTGCATGCAAATTAAAAATTATTATGTCATTTTACAAAATTGACCGTTTTTATAGTTGTGAAGTGACTTTTATTTCTAGTAATGCTTTTTGCCTTAAGGTCTTTTTTGTCCCATTTTAATATAATCACACATGCTTTCTTTTGCTTAATATTTGCCCGATGTATCTTCTTTCATTCTTTTCCTTCCAACAGCTCTCAATCCTTATATTTTAGATCTGTGTCATGTAAATATCATATAGTATTTAGAAAAAATCTAATTTGACCAATATTTAACTTTTCACTGGAGAATGTATTCCACTTACATTTACTGTAATTGTTACTGTATTTGGATCTATTCTACCATGTTCTTTCAAACTTTATTTGTTATACATATTTTGCTTCCCTCTTCCACTTTATCTTTTTTTTCTATCAACTAACTCTTTTTTGTTGTTAATTTTTTTCTCTGTGTGAGGTGGGTATTTAGATACTCTCTCTCTCTATTCTTTTACTGCTTGTCCTAAATTTACTTAATTACTTATTAAAAGCTGAACTTAAAAAGAAACTATCTTTTCCTTAAGTAAAATACAGATCTTACCCTACTTAACTCCATTTAGTCTCGTCATGATATATGTTATTTTTGTCTGATATTTTGAACTTTGTCTTATTTTTTTAACTCTCTTATTATTAAATAATAAAATAATACTCATTATTATTATTACTATAATGTTCATTATGTTTGCCCACATATTTGCCCACATACTTCTTGTTTTGTTTTTCTTTCTTTCTTAGTTCTCACTTCTTCCATCTGGCTTCACTTACTTCTGACCAAAGTACAAACTTCACAGTTTTCCCTAGCTTGGGTGTGCAGGTGGCAAACTCTGTCTGATTAAAGTCATTGTTTCTTGAGGGAGATTTTTGCTGAGTATTAAACTCGAGGTTGGCAGTTACTTTTGTTATTGTTTAGTACTGTGAAGATACTGTTTCATGATCTTATGTTCTGAGTTGTGCTATAGAGTTGTTAGCTGATAGTCTGTTTTTCCTTTGAAGATAATCTGTCTCTTTGCCCCTGGTCCCCTTTTGAGACTTTTTTTTGGGGGCAGGGGAGGATCTGTGGTTTTCTGTAGACTCACTCTGTTGTAACTAAATGTGAACTTCTTTTTAGTTTTTCAGCTTAGGATTCTCTGTGCATCTTCAATCTCTGGATTGTCCTTTTTCATCATTTCTGGGAAATTCTCAGCCATCGTCTCTGCTTGTTCTCTCTTTCCTTTGCTCTCTCCCCTTCAGCAACTTGGATCACATGTACATTAAACTTTCTCACTGTATTTTCTATACTTCTTACCGATTTTCTATATATTCCATTTTTTTCGTTCTTAGTGTTATATTCTGGATAATTGTTTTATCTATTTCTCTTCTATATCCAGTCTAGTGCCAAATATAGCCATTGAGTTTTTAATTTTGGTCATTTTTTATATGTTGAATGTCTTTTATCATTAGAAATTCTGCTTGTCTGTTTTTTTGAATCTGCTGTATTGGTTTTTATAATTTTCTGTTCCCTATAGATATTTTCCAGTTTGTGATGTATTTATTCACATTTGTTGGATGTAGTTGTTTTATGCTATGTCTGATAACTCCAAAATCAGAAGACTGTGATGTGATGTGATTTGGTGTCTGTTATATCTTGTTCATCTTGTTTTCTTGGAGACCTTATTAACATTTAT